AAGCATTGTCTGCCAAGCAAGAACCCACGACAGCTGAGAAAGTCAGCAGGAGAGCTTCAAGCGGTACGCTTAACTGGATAAACAAAAGTTCCATTTTCCCTCAAGCCAAGGCGAGGCTATTCCCGAAAACAACAATCATCCACGTGCTCGTGATTTCCCCGACCTCCCCGAGGCAATCCTTCCCCCAGTCAGCGGGATGTGGGGACAAAATTCCCCCTTTCCCCCCCCCCCCTCGGCCGGAAGTTTTAGGAAAGGGAAGAATGCGCCGGCGGACTGCATGCAGTACCGAGTGAACATCTCGGTAACGAACGGCTTCTAGCGGTGTGTACATACAGTACCTGGACAAACGACTACTGCTACTACTATTGTCGCTTTCCTTGTGGATTCAGACATGTAGTTCAACTATATGATTAACCATCTATGACGAACCTCCTGAGACACAAGGAGTCTACAGATTCGTCACGCTAACTGAACTTACTTACGTAGCTGAGTCACAACTCACCACAGTCCTTCCCCAGGGGAGCTCTAGACTCTGGAAGTCGGGAGCCTAGTGGAGCTTTGCCGAGTTTTGTGGAGATAGAAGATATATTTTTGGCATGTCTTGGTTGGCTCTATTCCGGGGGAGAGTCTAGACTGAAGAACTTTCTCATCGGTTGTGATCGCCTGACCTTGAAGATAGATCTCTGGGGGCGACTTGAGGCTTGCAGAAAATGGACACGCGATGAAGCCTCGCATATCGTGAGCCCGTATCATGCCTCGAGCACAGTCGCCTCAGGTTCAGACCCCATCCTTCTCGTTCCGCCTACGATGCAGAACACACTGCGAATTAGTGGCGTAATGTCATGACTGAAGCTGTGGTCTACATTAGATACAAGTTCACATAGATGGTGGTTAGAAATTACCAGAAATATGTTTGCGTATATGAGGAGAAGGGCTCTTTATGCAACCTTGTGATGAACAAAACCTCAATATGCTATCATCAAGCATCCCGCGCTTGAGATGCCATGATCTGCTGCTAAATGAATATCTCAATGACCCACAAACCCTGGGGGCCCTCCGAGTTGAGATTGTAGATGTTAGCAGTCCCATCGTCCTTACAGCAGTCGCCAGCTGGCAACCATCCACCGCAATGGTCCAAGAGACTGAGTCTTAATACCTTGATCACCAGACAGCTCCGATAGCCAGCTCAGCTACCTAGGGATTGTAGGCCTTCTTGATCGAAGTATGCCGAACACATGAGGGGCATACTTCGCGCCAAGGACCGATTTACAATCTCCAGGCACCTGCATGACTATGTGAGTGCATGGTCGCAGATTCAGCATGCAGCCACGAGATAGCTCCCCACTTATCTCTTTGTAATCGGCCATGGTCTGCAATGTAGACATCAACTTGCCCACGTAAGGAGCACATGTTCATCCTGGTATTCGTATGAAGAGACCCCCACATCTGGTGCCCCTGCTTGCCGAACTCATCGTCTCCAATAGGGGCCGGATTCGACGAGGTGGTTGTGACCATTGAGCTTGGAACGGCCAGGTGAAGCCCCCTGTAGCGTCGATACTGCCAAATGCATGCGATCTCGAAAAGCCCCCGGCCTGGAGTAAATTCTGAATCAAGCGGAGGTAGTGAGATCGCCAACCCAAGGCACCCGACTCTCCGATGAGAGATGTAGATATATATCTAGACGCGACCTTGATTGGGGTTGGAGTGAGGGGCTCCCGATTGAGGTTTCATTCTGCGCATACCCAGGCGCAGAGCTCCTGTGCAGTAATACAGTCAGAGGGCTTTATATGATATCGACAAGTAGTTGGGGAGGGTGGTGGTGCTATATGCAGTGATATTGGTGAGAATCACTATGAGTCCGACCTTATCAGCACCACAGCCAATCACAACGGCGGGAAAGCGGGTACATCAGCCTGGATCACGCGGCGGGGTAAACAAACGACAGCTCAAGGCTGAAGGCTGTTTATTCCTGTTCTCACAATTTTCACCACCTCAAGTCGCTTCGCTTTGCATCTCTCATCTTCGCGACTATTGATCTTCCTTCACCTCAAGGTACGCTGCCCCAATATCCCCATCTTGTGTGTAACCAGACCCCACCAGGTCAACTCACACATCCAACCACAGCCCCTCACCGACTCCAAACAGAAACAAATCTTGCAAAAATGGGCCACAACTCCTGCCCTTCTTGCGGTGCTACCATCGCTGGCGAAGTGAAGACCTGCGGCTCTTGCGGAAAGGTATGGCATACATCTCGTCTGGTCTTTTGTTCAACCTCTTATTCATGCCACTAGACCTGCCCTGTCTGAAGTCGTCCTCCTGGCTTCGCGGGGTTGTTTTCAAATCGCCTCGAGATCGCAGATCACAATCTCAGTATTAAGTCAGCGGCGAATGGTCGATGGTCTGGACATAATATGGACTGATATGTATTGAGCTGGCATGGCACGATGAATGCATGAATGAAATGAATGAACGAATGCGCGTCTCTCGTTCCATCTCCTTTCTTCGTCCATATCGAGTAGGACAGAACACCCTTTCAGACAATAGCCCGAACGGTGGCTGAGCCTCCTGCTCGGTGGCTAAATAAGGGGATATCCAAATGCTCATTGCTCCCATTGAGCGGACTATCCTCGCTTAGTCGAGTCATCGTTCCTGATTCTTTCCGTACTTGGCCATTTTGCCCGCCAGTGTCGCTGTCAGACGGCCGCGAGAAGCGGTTGTTGACAATCATCGAATGCCGCTGAGGATCAACTGAGCAATTATTGGGGAGGGCTTCATTATCTGAGAGCAGAGCAACCGCCACCGGATGGTCACGGATCTTGCACACGCCGAAAAACTTGTAGAGCGCATCAAGCGCAGGTACCGACAGTCCATGGACAACGATGGAGAACAGCACCAACCAGTAGACAACTGCGCAGACTGCGGTTAGGTGCGAATTAATTCCAAATAATAATGATCTGTAGTCTTACCTGGTGTCATAGCGGCGGTCAGATTGTTAATCTCAGTGTCACTTTCGCCTGGGGAGGGAAAGAGGCGGCGAGCATACTCCACATATGCTATAGCACCGATACCTGCCAAGTAGCATGAGCCTGAGAACGAACGTCATCCTGGGGGCGAGCGCTGCTTACCGATCGGTCCGAAGTAGCCCAAAAACAACGCTTCTTTCCAATCACTGCAGACCTTGGGCATGAACTTGTATCCTGTGATAATGGCGGGAATGCGACGGAAGATAAGGATTAGAAAGCCTAGTCCAAGCAAGCGCCAGATGGAGATCCCAGTGTCATGGGGTCTATGAAACTGGTCCCATGGCATGACTGCACCAAGATACATGAAAGCTGCAGTGTTCAGCAAAGTCTCGATTGTCGAGTTGAAAGAATCATGCCGGGCCTGCATCTCAGCCTGGTAAAGGCCATCCCAGTTGAGCACACTCCCAGCTATGAAGCAGGCAAGTGTTTCATCGGATCCAAAACAGCCGCACGTCCCAACAATGAGCATGCCAATTGCCACAGGGACCAGAGTAAAGCTTTCATTATCGATCCATCTTCGCTTGGATGCGCCCTTGACTAGCTTCTGGCAAGTGAAGCCGACAAAGGCGCCGTAGGAGGCACCCAGGAAAATCATGTACAGGACTCCCTCCACGGCCCAATGTTTCAACGCAGGGCCGACTCCTCCACCAAAGCGCCCTGCGCTCGTTGCGCCGAGTGAATCGGGGATGCCTCGCTCCAGATCGAAGTCCTCCAGGCTAGCGGTGTTTTCAGGCGCTTCTGCGTAACGCAACAAGGAAAGCGCAAGCAGCAGAAATGGAAAACCGAAGCCATCATTTGCCCCTGCCTCGGCCGAAATAAACTCTCGAAGTGGTCGACGAACATAGTTGTCTGCAAAGGGACCTTTTGCAATAGCTTGAGATAGAACAGGATCTGTGCAAGTCACGCAAGCGCTTATAATAAGAGCTGAAAGCTACACACGAGACGGTCAGCACAGTCTTATAAGTTGATGAGTTGTTGAAGTTCCAGCGAACGTACAAAGGATATACTGGGAATCGCAAGCAAGATACATGCAGATGTTGCAAACCATGCTATAGTCATGAGGGGAAGAAGACATATAGCCAGTTCGCAGAGACGCTGTCTTATGTATCTCTTGGGCAATTGATATCCAGCTTTTACCAATTGTATGCCAATCACTAGGCGTGTCAGGTTCTGCTATTATCAGTATTGACCTATTAGTAGCTTATCAGAGTGGAATTTACAAACGCGATGTCACTGCGGTAATCGTCATCCCCTCCTCCCCACTGAGATATGTTCAGGAACCTAGCGCCGATCGGCCCTAGCGAGACACCAATTAAAAAGGCAGGCACTAGTTGAGAATCAGTATCAGGTTAAATCAGTGCGAATCTTGGGTTCATACAGGCTTCCCCGAGGTACCACCTCTGCTTGATTCTGAGCGAAACATATCCGAAAATGAGAATATAAAACGCTTTACCATAGTAAGTTGTTGCGCTTTGTATATGAGTTGGTCCCGGCGCTTCTCACCTATAACAGAGACGACGATATTGAAGTTGCTGAGGTCAAGAATTGGATGCAGCATGGCGCCCGTGCCTTGAGAAGCACCTTTATAGTTCGACCAGCAACAGAGAGTGTCTGACGAAAAGAATGAGCTTCTTGCTGAGATTTTGGCGTAAGCGGATCTCAATATTCAAGCAACTGAAATAGCATGTGCATCAGGAGGTATTTGTATAAGGAGGCGCCACAATTCAACTAGAATCTGATGAGCGGCGCGGAAGCTCCTAGGGCAAACATCCCACACAGCACCACATTGAGATCAGCTGCCCTTTGATATCCCTGTAAAAGAATCGAGGGGCACTGTGTGTTATCTCTCACACTTAGATTGGTGCGATTGCTGTGGGCCGCCATACGCCTCCCTTGCAGGAAGCAATGCTGCTGCAAAGCTTGGCCGCGCTCGCTCGCCATAATCGGCGTATCTCTTTCTAAGGTACGTAGGTGGTCATGCCAGTCTTTATCAAGAAGCCGTAAGCGTGCATGCCAGCATGTTTAGACTCTCGGGTTGTTATGCGGATATCCCAGGGATTGCTTGTTCGTGACGGGCTATCGATTTAGCACAATCAGGAAACGGACGACAGCAGAAAGTCAGATCTTCTTAATGGGACAGGTCTGTGCCAAGCCGGCAGGTGGCGTAAACCTCTGTAAATCTGACTGTTTGGTTTGCCATTTGAGTGCATAGAAATGGCCCAAATCGGGGGTGTCACATTTCAGTTCCAGTAAGGAACACAGGGCGAAACAAGGAGTCAAGGGAGAATCTAAACCAGATTGCGTAAGTGTGCCTGCACTGAGAATGACAGTTTGCGTCTCAGGTCCATGTCTTACTGATTGACAAATAACGAACTTAGGACAACTTGATGATGACAACAAGGCCTTGCGATAGCTGGACATGCTTTGGAGATATTGTTTTGGCGTCCAATATATCACTCTTCTTGACCAATAGTCCACTTGTACGTTGAGCATCGCCTTTTAAAGAGCCTTGACTGACTCTCGTCTGGGTTAGTGTCATCAAAAGACATAGAATGTCTGGATAAGACACCCCGTGGTCGTCCTGGCGCAGATCCCGATAAAAGCCACTCAGGTTTCTGACAGATTGCACATCTAGCATCCAGGCTCCAGCCAAAGCGACGCCTGCCGGGAGTCTCGTGCAAATTCAGCCAAAGTCGGGTTTGACATGGTCGATGATAAGAAGATGGTTTCGAGACCCAAGTCAGGAGTCACTGGCTGCAAGTAGCCGCAACCCCGCGAGCACCTTGCGGACTGCAACTCTGGACCACAGCGGTATTTTCACCATATTTGGTGAGCCAAGAACAAGTCAAGATATTTATAGTATATACACATTGAATAGGAAATGACAACATGTACACGATCTCTTTTCGATCGCAGAATCGCAGAATCGCAGAATCAGAGGACTCTTGTGGCTTCATCGTTCAAAGCTTCATTTGACCGCAAGAACGGGGAATAAATCTTAGGCTACACATATGGCAATAACAGAAGCCTGCGTTGCAGGGCAGAATCTCAACTGGGAATATTCCAGTGCATAAACCCAGGCTTTCCTATGTTCGAAGATGAATAATAAATCTCCCTGGCTTCACGCCTTTACTCAGCATGCGTTTTCGGTGACAAGTAAACTTGGAAGAAGGAATACGATTCGGTGATTGAGCGGCTAACCTCAAAATCCACGCTTACTTGAAGCCTTTGCATGGAGAGAACTTAGCATCCGTTGTCTAAGCAGTCTTTCGCCACTGCGACCAGACACCAATCAAACTGCTGACCGTTCCTGCAATACCAACGAGACCATCATCAAGTGCAGCAAGACCAAGAGCAGACACAGGAACAGTCAAGTCGCACAGGTCGGAGATCAGCTGAATACGAGCTGTGGAGCGTTCCCTAGACAAAGATGTTAGCGTTCAGTTAAAAACCCGACCAGACAGTCTCGTTACGGATTCGCATACTTCTCAAGCTTCTTCGCCTCCACAACACCCTCACCCTCCTTAAGATCAAGGGTCTTCGCCTTCTCCCTCAACCGGAAGAGGGTATACAAACTAGCAACCGCGCTGCACGCCAGTCCTGCCATCCACGAGCGATAGGCCGAGTCCTGCAGTCGTTTCACGAAAGCAAGTTTGCGCACACCAATCGCGTCCACAACCGTGATGGTATCAAGAGACAAGTACCCAGCATAGCCAAGCTGCCGACCAACCGCAAGGTAGCGAAGTACTGGGTCGATCGGGTTCTTGTTGTCGGAGGCCAGCGCGGCAGCCTTCAAGTGTTCAACAAACTTTCCGATTCTGAGGATCTTACGCGTGGTTCCGAACTGCTTTTTGATAGCATTATAGGGATCGATGGCAGACTGCGGGCGGTTGGTGCGGTACAAGTACCAGGCATAGAAACGAGAGAAATATTGCAGGGTGCGGAGAATCTTATCGCGACCAACTATGATTCAAGGAAAAATGATTAGATTGAGAAAGAAGAACAGACACGCGCGAGACCAGGGTAGCAGGAATGCTCAAGTCAACAGACGATGGGAAAGCGAGGTCGGGAACTTGCGGCCCCAATTCCGAGCTTCACGCGATAGAAACATGTCGGAGCACTGTACAATGGATGCATCTCACATACCAGTTGTCGCAACAAAGCGCAAATAATGCGCTACAGCAGGGTGATAGACCAGGGCGTCAGCAACCATTTTCAAGATGGGGATCTCTGTGCGTTGGGATTAAGAAGAGGATGTCGGCCGATAGCGGGAGATGGATTCCGGGAGCTGTCAGCTCGTGGAGAGATAAGCGGTATGTGAAAGAGGACAGGCCAGCTGATGGATGAGGGACGGAGGATATGAAGATCGGTGTTACACGTCACACGGAGAAGCAACGAGTAGACGGGGAAGAGGGGAGAGGGGAGAGGACTAGAATAAGTTCTGGGGAAGAAGCGATGGGGGAGAGAGGGTGGGATGAATGATGGATGCTGGGGTCGGTAAATGACCGGGGATCGACGGGCGGGAGAGAAGGAAGGGTTCGTCTTGTGCTCTGCCCGCCCACTCAACAAACCTCGGTTGCTCGGCGTTTCTGATAGCAAACGGGAGTAGACCAATATTTGACCACCAACTACCGTCATGTGTGCTCTGGTCACGAGACTCTTTGTCGGCTTCTCATTTCACATCATTATTCTTGCCCTCAAAGGCCATAACGGCATGACTCTGTAATATCCACAGCTCTCTGGGGTGGCTTTTGTTGTACAGCATAATTTATGACTACCACCCAGCTATGGGCCAGACCTCACCTGAATGGCCTAACGAAGTATAAGAGCTCGTCCGGTTGCCATTGTTTAATTCTTAGTGATTCAGCAATCCGTTATATACTACATGGAGAACATGATGATCATTAGGTTTGTGTCCATAAATACATGAATCATTGATCTGAGCGATGTTGTTGCGGTGACCGCAGCAAATATCATCTACCATTTCGCGCTTCTGGGCATCGTTCGCTCAATTTGTTGCTTGGGGTTCGCTCTCTGAGTTTTTTAGGGTGTGGATCGGCTCGCTGCATTCGTCGCTTGGGCTCATCAAGACTAAATGTCGCAAAGGGCGTCAAATGGGCTGCAAATATTGTGCAAGCATGGGAATGGATGGCGCTCAGTGGGCAAGGTTTTTGCTGGGTGATAGTGCGCCCACCATACGCGTTGACAGGTCAGTGCAGGGTCAAAAATTTAGCTTACTGCTCCTCAGGCCTCTCATGGATCCCCATCAGGCTTGTGTCATATCCATGAGACTCGAGATAAGCACGGAATTTAGCATCTTCTTCGGTGATTGTGTCCTAGCGAAAGCGAAATGAGGTTAGCACAAGAATCCAACCCAGTATTATCAAAATAAAAGTGACCCAGCAGTGATCACATACCTGGCCAATCTGTGGCAAAAGGAAGTATGCCAACGCCGCGCTGAAGATACACAGGGAGCTCGAGACGAAGAACGGATCCTGCCCGCTGCGGACTGGGTTTGGGGCGTTTTTCTGTATGATTGGAATCACATAAGTGCCCACAAAAGCACCGATCTTTCCGAAAGCAGCAGCGATGGCATAGAATTGACCTCTGACCGCGGTTGCGCTGCTTTTCGCACAGCAAAGGCCGATGTTATCACCGGGACCGAATTCTCCAAGGCTGGAAAAGATTCTAGTGGGCCACGTCAGTGGGTGTACAGAACCTCTAGTAGTCCAATTGCCTTACCCGAAGACCACGACAAACGCCGCCACATTCTTTGGGGTCGAAAGATACTCATAGCAGCCGGACATGATGAATCCAACGATACCCTGGAAAAGTACGCCAATAGCCAAAGTGTTGCGGGGCCCAATCCAGTCACTGGACAGACTACCAAGAAAGGATCCTGGAATGTAGAATGTGTAGGTCAAAGTAGTCCAACCGAAGCTCTTCCAAAGGGGAGCACTATCCCCTAGAATAATGGCTAACCAGTCTGAGGAGTATATGCTGAATGAATAGGAAGAGAAGTCATACAGGAACCAGATGAGGGAGAGCACAGCCTTGCTGCGGTTAGCCATACACCTTTTACCTCATAGAAAGAAGAAGGGAACTAACCAAACGCTTCCAGTAGAACCTGTCCAGGAATTAGTCAACGCGTATGTGGCTTGCGGTGATTGGTGAAAGGCCGCTGGAGAGGAGATATGGGAGAATATGATAGAATGATAAAAGTTGTACTCACTTCACAATTAGCCATAAAGGGAAAGTGTGCATGCGCTCTCGGTCGAACTCTTCAGGCTCTTCAAGCTTCAATCGCAAATACATCAAACTAAGAGGGGGAATTACACCCAATCCCAACCCAACACGCCACACTGCGCGTAGGTGATCCTCGGTGAAAATCAAAACCAATATCATGGAAACCAATGCAGAAATGACATATGCAAAGTCAATCTGAAAATTGGTAAACATGACAAACCATCGATTGCGATGACCTTGCTTCAATTCCCCGGTGTTCTCGGCGCAGGCCACACTTCCTGCTGGATATTCCCCACCGATTCCTATTCCCAAGAAGAAACGGTAGGCTGTCAATGCGGCAAACAGGCCATAGTGACTGTTGTTATAGCCATATGCACCAGCACATAAAGCAGCGAAGATGAACAGAATGATAGTGGATATCATCAACGACCATTTACGTGACCAATGATCACTTGTGTATCCAAATATCAGCATGCCAACCACTGTTCCCGCAAAAGTGATTGATGAAACGTTCTGGCTTGCGGGCGAGTTGGCATATTCAGTCGGATAAAGTCTCTTGAGTATGGTATTGACAGGTCCGATTATCTGAAGACGTGGTCAGCAAAGTCAATTCGAGCATTAAGTCGATGGAGGCAAAGAACCATGCATCAGAGTCAAGAATCCACATACACCATTGAGATATCCATCGGAAAAAAGCCCAGCACCACAGGCAATGGTGGGCCAACTGCGCTCCCAACGACTCTTGCCTTCCGGATTCGCATCCAAGGGCACCTCACGAGAGCCTGAGACTGCATCGACCGGTGCCTGGACATCTGCCTTGATATCCGTCTTCGACTCTACGGTTCCTTTCTCTTTGTCGTCTGACATTTTGTTGTTGTTGCAGGAAAACGGTCACGTACAGAAAGGGAAGTTTGAAGTAAGCAAGGGGCAGTTGAGGGCGTGGTGCAACTATCCGTTGAAGAACAAGTCGATGCAAGGAGGGAAAGTGAGCACGTGCAAGTTCGAAAGGTCGATACTATAGTATAGAGGCACCTTCGAGTTGGGTAAAAAACAAGATAGCAAGGACGGATGCGAAGACAAGAAGGTGTGAGAAAAAGGCAAAGGGAGGGGGGGAAAACTTTCTACAGGCGGGGGAATCAAAAGAGACGCTCGTGATGAGGGCACATCAAGGCCACAGAGATCCGGATTCCTACCAGATCCATGCTATTCCAGTGCCACCATCCATCCAGGTTGCTCGAACATTTAGCGAAATCGCCAGGATGTACTCCGAATGGCCCCTCCTCCTTAGCGGGCCTTAGCGCATGATTACCGCGGGTTAAGCGGTGGAAGAGTGGGGTTGCACTTCAAGCTTCCCTTCAACTTCCCCGTCTTCAGCCGCCCAACTGAACCAAAATGGAAAGTCGAAGACGCTCCACCTGCGTCTTGTCGAATCCTATCGAATCGCATGTTGTATTCGAGGATTCCGGTGGTCCATCGTTGAGTACTAGCTAGGTTCTATAGCCTGTTTCCCATGTGATTGTACTGTACTTATAGGGCCTCCCTCACCGGCTCACCTGCCTCAGGTACAACTAGCGTTAGTTCAGCTGCGAAAGCCTGCGATTATGCAAGTATATTGGCAAGAAGACCAACCACAAATTGGTGGCTGCAATAAGCTACAAGCACCGGTAAGCCTATATGAGCTGCACTAGTAGATTAGTAGAACATCAGTTTGGATGTAGTAGCTTAAGAGCTGGGATTGAGGCTACAGAGTCGTTTGAATGACTCTTCTATTCTTCTCGATGTAGGCTTGAAATCAAAGATCGAGATTAATGATCAGTAAGACTAGGTGTGTACGAGAGATATTCTTCACCAAGGCCCTGGATCATATATATATCGCGTACTGCAGACCCCAATGCTGGACAACACCTAGTATCTGCCATGGCCAGTAATTAGGATCTTGGGACTCATGAAGATGCAGTGGTGAACAAATAGCACCAATAGCACGAGAATAATCAAGAGCCACAAAAAAAACCATGGACCGTTCAATACGGGTACCATTGACTACTAGCTGGGGTTAAGCTCACTGTTCATACTCTTTATCGATACTGTGGTATTGTACCGTGATTTGAGCCCCATTTTCTTATTCGCTTTGCAAGGAAAAGAGAAAGTGATTCGAGGTCAATTGTCAATCTCATATAGCTTTCTGAGCCCTGTAAGACTTCAAAAGTCAATGATCGCCAGTATTTTACATACCAAGCATCGAATGAGAGCATGTCTATTGGAATTAGTCAAAGTACTGTACATGGTAGTAATTCACCCAGAATTCGATTTCTCCGGAATGCCGTAGGAATGAGGGTGGAGAGTCTGTGTCGGCACCGGAACAATATTTTCTCCAGCTGAGCTCGGGTCAGCTACGGTCCATCGGTGATGTATCCGCCTTCGTTCATCATCCTGTCAACAGATACCTTGGACAACGAACATTCAGCCTCTTCAATCTAGCTCTCTCAACAATCTAATACCACCCTAAATTATCTCCGGTTGCTTGCTCATATCTTTACCGCCAACATGGGGTCCGATCCGCAGTACATAAAGTACCCCGATCTCGTTCTCGCCCAACATGTCTTCAACATCTCCAACCCAGCTTGCCCCCAAACGGTGCGACAGACATCACTAAAGAAAATTCAAGATGCCATCACAGAGCGAAAAATGGCCCCATTCTACCGCCATCTTGCTCATCCCGTTGAAGGTATCCTGAATCACTCTGGCGAGGGAGTTGCGCAGCACCCAGCCAAGTCCGCGATTACGTCGAACCTGCTTGCCTCCCGGAAGTCATCCCAGAAAATCGACTTCCCATGGGACGAATCCCTGTACCAGTCGTTGGTTGAAGATAACCGGAAAGAGCTGGAGGGTTACCAGAAAGAGGAGGATGAGGCAGAAGAAGCAGCTGGAGAGACCGAGGTGCTCGCCGCACGGGGTAAACGTGCTGAATTCTGGGCACGGGTGGGAGATAAGGTGTGTTACTCAAGCTCCAGGGTCGTCATTATCATCTCCAAGTCACAAGGCTGATGCAAAAGCATTTAGGACAAAGCTATCGAGTCTCATGAAACCCTCCTCGAGAAAACGACATTCCTCGGTACCAAGATTGATTTGATGCTCGCTATGATCCGCATCGGCCTCTTCTTCGGAGATGCCTTGTCTGTTAAGAAGAACATCGAAAGAGCTAACACCCTCATTGAGAGCGGTGGTGACTGGGATCGGCGGAATCGTTTGAAGGCATACAAGGGTCTACACCTACTCACCATCCGTTCCTACAACGAAGCTGCGCCTCTTCTGCTTGACAGTCTGTCCACTTTCACCAGCTATGAACTCTGCAGTTACTCCGCTTTAGTCATTTACTCGGTCTTGGCTGGCTCTCATTCACTGAAACGAGTCGACTTCAAGGCTAAGGTTGTGGACGCACCCGAGATCAAGGCTATCCTTGGATCTGGTGAAGATCGATTGGCCGCTCTGACCGGTGAGACATCAGCCGGGCCCGGCGCTCAAGATGAAGAGATGAAGGACGCTACAGTTTCGCGGGTCACCCCGGGTACCGCCACGACCGCAGTCAACCTGACTGCCTTGGGCGGCGGCTCTGGTGTCCAAGCGGAGGCGGAAACCCCTGTCGACTTCACGCCTCTTGCTCACCTGGTTGACAGTCTTTACACCGGCAACTACCGATCCTTCTTCGTGTCTCTGGCGGCGGTGGAAGACAACTTCCTTACTCAGGATCGTTACCTCTACGAACACCGCGCCTGGTTTGTGAGGGAGATGAGACTGCGCGCATACCAACAGCTTCTTCAAAGCTATCGCGTTGTTGGGCTGAACAGCATGGCGAGCGACTTCGGTGTGACGGTAGACTTCTTGGATCGGTAAGTATCTTATCTATTGTGCTCGGGTAAGCAGCACTAACCCGCGATCGCAGGGATCTTGCCAAGTTCATCGCCAGCAACCGCATCGCATGCACCATTGACCGGGTCAATGGTATCATTGAAACGAACCGACCGGATGACAAGAACAAGCAGTACGCGGATGTGGTCAAGCACGGTGATGCTCTGATCACGAAGCTGCAGAAGTACGGCCAGGCCGTGCGTTTGAGGGGTAGTGAACGCAGCTAAATCGTAGATATGGCCTTGTCGATCGCCATGTGGTTCATGATTATGTAGATGAGAGGTTCCAGTGATTTATCTATATCATATCCTTTACCAACTTGACCAACTTGACCATCCAGCCATGTTAGAGCCAAAACAAGCGAGGCTGGTGTATCATAATTCTAATGACGCGAGAGAAAATGACCTCGAACCTTGATCGGCAAACCGTTGTTGAGCGGCGGCCGGAGACAGTGGTGAGATTTTGCTCGTAGTTGTACAGTACAGTCAATAAATAGTCCATGTGGCTTTCAAAGGTCCATATGGTAGGTTGTAAGAGATGGCTTGTGGGTGGTACTGGTATCCACCACGACTGTGTCGGCAGTACTGGGCGAATTGCCTAACCATCCATCCATCTCTCTAAGCTCGAACAGGGACCAGAAGGGACCGGCCCTAATGTGTCCAGGGGCGGATCTGAGACAAGTTGACGAGATTGCTTCTCGAAGGGAGAAATGGCAACTCGATTATGAGAGCATACATGCAGTTCTCTTTCTGCCCTATCCTGTTCTTGTCTCGGGAAATTTGCCGACGGTCGGGAAGCTCCGGCGCAAGTGTGGGATGATGAGTTGCCATGGAATTAATTCTTGACCAGGGATTCGCTGTTGGTCGGTGGAACATGAGGGAGCGAGGGTGCCCCTGATGTCACAAGCGTGACACTAATGTCTAGTACCTGGGGTATTGTATTTGTCCTCTTACACTTCTCCTCTTCCACCAAAAACCACCGGTAGATCAGACCTTTCAACCACTCTTCATCACATCTCAATGTTTTGGATTCCCTATCTGATTATTCCTATCAGAGAGTGGAGACCAAGAGAGCTAAGATAAGGCAGCTGACTCATCTAATCATGGAGTCCGAGACTCTCACCGCCCAGGGGGATTTCCCGCGTTTTTTTTCTTGCTTGGGGTCTTGAATCCCGAGTTATTGTTGTGATTCACAGTCAATCGTCAGTCACCGCAGTGCAGGCTATTGCATCTTCTTCTAGTCCTAGACTAGGCCCCCCAGACTCTTCTCTTTGGCCCCTTACGAGTCCACCCGAACGGTTGGTGGAGAGGTGCCTACACAGTCCCATTGGCTGAATTCGGTGTTGAATCGAGCAAATTGAGATCCGATCATGAGCTGGCAATTTAAACTTGCCTCGCACCTGCGGGCAACTCCGCTGCGATGCTCAGTTTCCCGGCCGAGTAGTGGTGCATGGCTGTCGTGCCATCAACAGGCCCCGCGCCTTTTCTCCTCGCGGGTAAGCCTAGCCGCGGGAATCCCCAGAGTCTCCCCGGGTGAGTCGATTTCTCTTGGTCTTTTATGTGCCCGTTATTGGTGGTCATGCCCGCGGTCCCTATTATTGGACATGTTCGGCGGTGACCACTGACTACCCTGCGCGATATACCGTACCTAACCCCTCACACGCCCTCCCATCCCTCCCCGATCGATCTTCGGGTCTTGTCAGTCGCCCACGTCTCGCGCATCCCGTGACATCTATGACTCGGTAGTGCATGCACTGGGGTTGTCTCTTCTCCCGCCCCGGATACAAATGGGTGACAGTTTCATCCCTGGCGGATGAATCCCTTTGTCACGATCTTGCCCAACTCTCAACCCATCATTGCTAATCACCCTACCTTACATTACAGACTCGACCATGCAGACTCAAACGACATTGGCGCATACCACCAGACGCACTCTGACCGCCGTCTCCTCCCGTCGTTTGACCTTGGACAACATTAACCCCCACGTCAAGGCTGCCAAATATGCCGTTCGCGGTGAGATTGCTACCAAGGCAGAGGAATTCCGCGTGAGATTGGCTCAGGGGGATAAGTCATTGCCGTTCGACAGCGTTATCTTCGCCAACATCGGTAACCCGCAACAGCTTGACCAGAAGCCCATCACCTTCTTCCGTCAAGTCCTGAGTCTTCTTGAGAATCCCGTGTTGCTGGAAAACCCGGAACTTCTCCGAACCAATTTTGGATACCCACAGGATGTTATTGACCGGGCTAAGGTCTTGCTCGCGGATGTTCAGAGCGTTGGTGCCTACAGTCACAGCCAAGGTGCACCGGTCATTCGGGACAGTGTGGCCAAGTTCATCGAGCAGCGTGATGGATTTCCTGCTAACCCCCAGGATCTCTACTTGACCGCTGGTGCTTCATCGGGTGTGAGCACGATCCTCAACATTATCTGTGATGGACCCGCCGCCGGAGTCCTCGTCCCCATCCCTCAATACCCCCTGTACACGGCGACTCTGTCTCTGCTGGATGCGCGGTGTGTACCTTACCTCCTCGATGAGCAGAAGGCTTGGGGTACCGACGTGAATGCGATCAAGGAGAACCTGTCAAAGGCCAAGGCCGCTGGCACTGATGTTCGTGCTATCGTTGTTATCAACCCCGGTAACCCCACCGGTGCTTCTCTCAGTGCCGAAGACATCAAGAGCGTTCTCGACGTTGCAGCTGAGGAGAGACTAGTGGTCATTGCCGACGAGGTATACCAGACCAATGTTTTCACTGGCGAATTCATCTCCTTCAAGAAGAGACTCCGTCAGCTGCAGCAGGAGGTGCCCGGCAAGTACGACAACGTGGAGCTGGTCTCCCTGCACAGTGTCTCTAAGGGCATGGTTGGCGAGTGCGGTCATCGCGGTGGCTACTTTGAGCTCGTGGGTTTCGACCCCGAGGTCGCTGCCCAGATCTACAAGTATGTCAGCATCATGCTATGCCCGCCTGTCATTGGTCAGTGCCTGGTCGAGTTGATGGTGAACCCTCCCACGGAGGGAGAGCCTAGCTACGAGCTGTACCAGAAGGAATACAATGGCATCAAGGATGGACTGAGAAGCCGTGCTATGGCCCTCTACGAAGCCTTCCAGAAGATGGAGGGCGTCGAGTGTCAAGAACCCCAGGTAAGCCCCGGCCCATATTCCCGCAGATCACGAAACCCTTCTAACTTATCTATAGGGTGCCATGTACCTTTTCCCCACTATCAACCTCCCACCTAAGGCCATCGAGGCTGCCGCTGCAGAGAAGCGGGCTGCAGACGAGTTTTACTGCCTGCAGCTCCTCGATGCCACCGGTATCTGTGTGGTTCCAGGTTCCGGGTTCGGACAGAAGGAGAACACTCTGCACTTCCGCACGACATTCTTGGCTCCTGGAACGGACTGGGCCCAGCGGATTGTGAAGTTCCACTCCGAGTTCATGGCCAAGTATAAATAAGCCGATAAACGTACGCTATAACGATAATTAGACTATACCACATTTCTCCACTCGGAGGCTTTTAAATTGCACATACTGTTTGGAAAATTCTTCTGCCGTTCCATTGTTGCTTCTAAGATCTTGTTTGCTACTATACGCACTTTAATTTTGCATTGTATGTCTGATTAGCTCTGATGGGCTGGTGTGTGCTTGCTGGTAGTCCCATAGACGGACGGCGGGCGATCTGTGCATTTCCCCTTTTGGTTATCATTCGATAGCCTCGGCTGATAAGCACGTGATCCACGATAACACAGCACAGCAACGAAGGCGGAAGGACCAGATGATGTCAAACATTCGATTTAGTCATCCTTCTTTCGGTGCCCCTCAACACACTGTCGCTTCCCCATTCGTGAAATGATTACCAGCAGATCGGGTTTGTGCACTTAGACAAATGTATTGAAAGGAAATAATAAGAACCTGCTCGTGTCTGAACATCCGCAAACATGGCAGACCAAAGCGACAGCCCTTTACAGGTAATTTTACCGCGGAGATGCATATCCACTCGTGAACTCCACGTTCTTCGTTTGTGGTTACCGACAAATTTATAGCTAATAACTGACTGGTTGCTCAGGAGCTTGAAAAGGCATACTGCCCTCCCTTGGACCCAGCTCTACTCACGGCGGTTGCATCGGATTTTGATCTAATGGATCAAACACAAGTGGAACAACTTCGTGGGATACTAGACGCACTTAGACTGTCCGCTTGGGAGCAGGAGGATCTGCCGTTTGATCCCTCTGGGACCAGCGGATTGAGTCCTGATAGTAACGGCTTTGACATGGATGGGGCGTGCCAGCGCTCGCCATCGCACACCGATACGATGCCCTCGCGCGAGACCGATCTTACCAGCTTGACTTCTGGCATGTCTGGTTTCAATCTTGACGACCCCAGCGCTAATGGGCGAAAGAATCATGTGTCGTATATTGTTCGTTCGGATGGAACGCTTTCGCTTCACGGCGCGACCGATGAGGACAAAATCGCCTATCTGTCGGAGATGTTCCGGTCCACAGATCGCTTTACCATAAAGCACACACTACAGAAGGCCGGTGGTGATGTCGATCGCGCCATGGACGAGCTATTAAACTATGTCTTCTTTGATGAGCAGATCCCTGATGAGGATGGCATCACAGTCGCAGTTCCAAAGGGCGTGGATGGGTTTCAGGGTGCCGAAGCTGTCAGAAAAAAAGGTCGCAGGCGTAAACCGAAGGGGAAGGCCCTTGCACGGGACCAATACGCTCGGGCCTCGAATTGCGGCGAACCTCTGTCAACGAGTTCCACCACCTCAAATATATGGGCAACTGCGGAGAAGGAGGTCGAGTTCATATACTCGCTTACATCGGCGGTCCTCCCCAAGGAAAGGATCCGGTCGGCATACCATGCCAACGGGGCGTCGTTGCCAACCACGATACAGGCACTGGCGAAAACATATGCTCCTGGATCCAAGGATTGCCTCAAGACTGATGAGCTGCTGGCTGCCCAGGTGTCTGAACTAACACAACAGTTCCCTATGATTACATCTGATACATCTGCGGGACTACTCATCATTACACGGCAAATACCCTCTGCAGCCAAAGAGCTAGCTGATGTCATGCTGACCGTTCCTGAGACGTCACTGGCCCCCTTGTCTGAACTGATCAAGATCACATCAACCCTTCCTCCCCTGGATGACGAGGATGAAGTGGCTGAACCCCGAAACCCCGGACCGCGCTTCGCCCATAATCTGGAAAACGTGAAAAGTGCAGCACACGTTCATTTTTCGGCGGGAGCGGAGGCATTTTCGAAGGCGTCAACGGCATATAGACGTGGAAAGTCTGATCGATTGATGGGAGGGGCTGCTGCGTACTATTCCTCTGTTGGCCGAGACCATTTGGAATTGGCGAAGCGCAATGCCGCGGCTGCAGCGGACGCTCTCGTCGACCGACAATCTACATCGAACAGGCTTGACCTCCACGGGGTGTCTGTGCAGGATGCCGTCCGCATCAGCCGCGAACGAGTCTCCGCTTGGTGGGAATCGTTGGGTGACACCAAGCTCATGGGAGGATCGAGCTATGAGAGGGCTCAGGGAGGCTTCCACATCGTCACCGGAAAGGGCCGTCACAGCCACGATGGCACATCCCGCCTAGGTCCGGCCGTTGGCAAGATGCTGGTTCGAGACGGATGGAGGGTGGAAGTAGGCGAGGGCTCTCTTACGGTCGTTGGATTCATGAAACAACGTTGATAGATTCTTGTCTGGGGCTGCAGTGTTTTGGTTCTTGCGAAGATACCCTGGGGTTGCTCATCTATTGGCGCTTGGATCTATCTACCGCACGGAAGGCGTTATGGGAGAAATTTCAGGTGTTTCGACTTAGAATCTGGGTTAGATGAAGATATAAGTTTGAGATAGAACATACGACAGTCTGACAATCGCCTGTATTATAAAATGCGATTATACAAGAGTACCGCGATCGTTTTATGAGTATGTCATATTGATCGTTTACTCCACAGTGCGGATGACGTAAAAGCTGCGACAAATTGGAGACGGCGGCGAACATCGGCTTAAGAGATCGATAAGATGGATTAGACCTCACGTCTTCTTCTTCCACCTTCCCCATACATTCGTTCTTGTTCTTGTTAAAGACTTAAACGACGAAGAAAGAGAAGAACAAAACATCCATTGACTCGTTTTCTCACATTGCATCATTCCCCCATCTCCTGATGCGATTCCAGCGCTTGGCCACATTTCTCCGCACCTTCAATCTACCCCTCCGCTCCCATCCTCCACCTTCATCTTCTTCCTCTTTCCGATTATTTCCCTTCCCCATCTCTAGCCCGCGAACCCTCCAAGCCGCCCCCGCAATTCCCTTCCTCAGCTCCTTCTTCACAACCAGTAGCAAATCCGAAAACAGCGGCAGCATGTCCTACCCCGATCAGCGCAGTGACGACGCATGGCGCGCCGTCCTCAGCCCAGGTAATCATTCAACTGCCTGTCCTCCCCCCAGTGTCCCCTACCTAAACATTTCTCTCTTCTGCCCCTCCTCAAAACAATACTGACCTTTTTTTTTTTTGTGCAACAAGAACAATTCCGCATCCTTCGCGAAAAGGGCACCGAACGGCCCGGCACGGGCGAATACGACCAGCACTTCGCGGCGCAAGGGATCTACCACTGCGCGGGGTGCGATGCGCCCCTCTACAAGGCGACCCACAAGTTCAAGTCCGGGTGCGGATGGCCTGCGTACTTTGATTCCCTGCCGGGGGCCGTGACGAGACATACCGACAGTTCGTTTGGGATGCAGCGCACGGAGATCGTGTGCAGCAACTGCGGCGGGCATCTGGGCCATGTGTTCAAGGGCGAGGGGTATCCGACGCCCACGGATGAGAGGCATTGTGTGAACAGTGTGAGTTTGAGGTTCGCGGAGGATCAAGAGGGAAAATAACTACATCATCGTGGGGAGGTGTTGAAGGGGGGGGGTCGGGGTTGAGGGAGTTTTGGTGAGAGCTTTGGCTGTCTGGGGGCATTGGTTTGGGAATGTCCTAGGCGATGATGAAAATCTTTCTTTTGGGATATTCTGACACTATTACAGTTGTATTGTATGATGATGAAATTATTGCAATATATCGCAATCATGTACAACCTGATTCGGCTTGTGTACTGTATAGCCCAACGACTCGGAGGGGTTCCATCCACCCTTTACCAGGCTAGACTACCGGCTGCTCCGGCGAGACCACAGTAGTAGGACAATTCATCCCCCCCGATGTGTTGACCCTCGGACTTGCAGTAGTAGAGCAGGCTTTGGTCGTTTTCGAGCGTGCAGTCCGGGCACTGGTCCCATTGCTTGCTGCCGGTATTACGGTTTTTGTAATATGTGCAGGCCTTCTCTGTGGCGGCTTTGTTGAATACTTTCTATGGTTTGTTCATTCCGGGTCAGAAGATTCAGAAGTTTCTAGTTGGAGGAGATGGTGATGCTCGACTTACCACATCCTGGCCGGGAGAGTCGTAGCAAAGCCCCGTGTAGTGGAGGTCGGCCGCGGCTCTTGTCGGCAATTAGTTAGGAGTGTTGGGAAGGCTAAGAGGGAACTGGCTGGTCTTACCCTGTGGCCATGATAGCCACGATCAGAGCCATAAATTGCTTCATTGTTCCGTTGGTTGGTGCAAATTGGTAAGAAGATAGCTTGAGTATGGAAGGCAGAGACTGATAGATATTAGGTGATTTCTGCGTTGCGCCCTGCCATTGTCGTATAGGAGAATAGGACGTGCTTCAATATATGGTTATTCTGTCGCCTGCCACAATCCTAGCAATCACTGAAGATCGTCACAGTTCGCATCCAACGATCCTCTGCCGTGGTCGAATTTTCCGATGTTCTTCCGCAGATTGAGTTGCGACCACTCGTTAGAGCACATTTCTCGATGTCGGGATTACTTGCCAAGGTCCTTCTATCTATCGACGATGATGATCACAATATCCTTGAAAATGTTCTTGTGACAGCTGATGGGGAGAGTCGGACTCGTTCTTCCTCGCTGATAGATCAAGTCTCACCTTCCTGCCGCCTAATCTGGGGCTGAGGACTATGTATAAACATGGATCTCCTGTCTCAGCCTAAGTCCAAGCCGACGATCACCTGGTTGCAACATCGGACGAACAATTGCACCCGATACTTCCGGGACCGTTGAATTGGCGGAGAAACAAACTCATCTATTAAGGTTCCGCGAGTGGGCCCGGGAGCGGTTCGTGTAGTCGAGCATCATGCAGTGTCTAATGGGATGCTCAATCTATCTCTCGCATCCGACGCCTGTCGATCCCTGATTCCCTTCGGCCCTTTTTCGGAGGATTGGCCTCGTGCTGATCGTCCCCAGCGGCACTCCAATGGAGTCCTGTTACTCTGATGGTCGGTAAGGACCATATTCTGTATGGCCCAGTGTATGGTTTCTATGAGATTTGACAAACGTGATAGATACTACCTGTGTACACAATGCGAGCATATAAATACCTGCCAGTCTTCATTGTTCAAAGATACAACTCATTCAAGACTGCACTGCCTGCCCCTTTCATGGTTTTTTCCCCTTTCGCATGTTACTCCAAGCAATCATGAAGGTTCTTCCTCTCTTCCCACTTTTCTCTGCAACGCTATGTCTTGCAACGGCCATTCCCTCCCAGCCAGCTGTCTGTGGCCCCGACGAGGCGGTCATATTCCTGAGCAATGGCACCACAACAACCGTCAAGAAAGCTGAGTTGGCCTCGCACCTGCAAGGCCTCACCTTCCTTTCCCCGGAGGCAACCGATAGCGCCTTTCCACGGCTGATCAAATCCAATGCATCTCCATCCAACATCACAAAGCGCGGATCAGGCACGGAGCTCATCATCCCGCTCCCTGATCTCGACTTCCTCGGATGGGATGTGGCCATGTCAACCATCGTGCACGCCAACCAGGCTGCCGCCACGGTGGCCATCCAGGCTGGCCAGTCGATTGCCAATAGCATCACCACAGGCACGTCCGCCGACTTCACTCTCGTCAAGGACTTCCTGTCTGCGTCCACCAGCATCAGCTATCAGGAGACAACAACTAGCACGGTGACTGGCACGGTCACCATGACCATCCCAGCCAACAAGTGGGGAGCGATCGTGAGCAACCCTTTGACCCATCGAAAAAGAGGCTATGTCTTCACTGGCCAGCCAGGGAGCGGGCAATTCGAGTATTACCAGGCCGATTCCTTCAATGACGCGAGCTTCAACCTTGAGGGAGGGACGCTGTCTTGGGTTAAGGGAGTGGTGACGACTTGCCTGGGTGAGACTTATCCGTTGGCGCGATGCGTGGGTGATGGTAGTCTGGAGTGATAGTTTACTGCTCTTAAGTTCCAGAATTTGGGTAGGTTAGAGTCTGTGAGACAGTGTTATTCTGTCCCGCTAGTTAACAGCTTTCAGTCTAGAGGGTTGTTCAAGGCGCTGACATGGGGCTCATGGAAATCGGAACTTTATCGACTGTACAAGTAGCCCTTGTCAGAAAGGGCTCTGATGTATTCTGGAAAGTCAACATAATAGCTTCTGTATACTAATGCTCTTCCCTGGTTTTCTTCGTTCCTTTCCAGCTTGCCTAAAACTCTCAGTGATGTGCTGCGACACTGTCGTAGATATCCTATTCAACGGATGATGCACTGCACCGTACCTGAACTCAATGCGCTTCCCAACTTGGGGAATACATAGCCATTGGAGGTCCAGAAGTATGTTGCCATGAGCTTGTGAGAATGATATAGCCCATTTTGCTCTTAGTAATAAGATATAGCGGATCGTGGGATTGCACACTCTTAGACACCTACAAGCCCGGGGTTGAAGCACGTTGGATAATTGCAGAGTCACTGTAGCTATAGATCTGTATGTCATGTGATCTCGGACATATCGAGAGCTGATCTGGCACGTGCGACGGACCAGATTGGGTACTCACCGCCTTTATGCCTCAGGCCGACACCCACCGCATCCCGCCACTTGGTGCCGATTGACGTCCGTGATTCAACTCCCCTTTGAACTCCTTTATTGAGTCCTGTTACTTAACCCCGGCCTCTTGATTGATATCGCGACCTCCGCTGTGATGTCTCGACGCGCCACGCCGTCTCAGGCTGCTCAAAACCAACAGGTTATCAAGAGCCTGCTGAAACTCGAACAAAACAAGACATGTGCTGATTGCAAGCGCAACAAGCGTATGTGACCACCTTCCGGAACTTTTGGGTCCACCGGCCCTTTTCTTCTTTCACCCTGCACTGTGCACTCAATGCAAGGAAATTCGGAAGTCCGGAAAGGCTAACATACCTTGCCTATAGACCCGCGCTGGGCATCATGGAATCTGGGTATTTTCATCTGTATCCGTTGCTCGGGAATTCACCGGGGCATGGGCACGCATATCAGTCGGGTCAAGTCCGTAGATCTTGATTCATGGACGGATGAACAACTTCAGAGTGTTGTGAAATGGGGTAACGCTAGGGCAAACAAGTATGTTCCCGCTCTCTTTGGGATCGCATTGACTTACAGATGGCTAATTATCACCGACAGATACTGGGAAGCCAAGTTGGCGCCCGGCCACGTCCCCTCGGAAGCGTAAGCGGAACCCCTCTATCATCGCTCGCGGAGATATTGTGTCTGACAAACACCACGACAACAGGAAGATTGAGAACTTCATCAGAACCAAGTATGAGTCGAAGAGATGGGTTATGGATGGTCCAATGCCCGATCCCTCGACCCTAAGTGATGGTGATGACGACGTGGTAAGGGACTAGGAGAGTACCCCAGGGATTGGATTGATAACTGACTTCAGTGTCCACCAGCCCCTCGCAGTTGTCCAGGAAAAGGCCAAACTTGAGCGCTCCGCATCCCAGCGAGTGGCGACGGCCAGTCAACCTGCCGTCCATCATCGTCCTCAAGCTTCCGTCGACCTCTTCGGTGACGATATCTCTCCTCCCGCGCGGCCCAGTACAACGGAGCCTGCAACTAGATCGGCTCCCAAGCAGCCCCAGTCTGCGCCTCCTGCTAAGCCTGCTGCCCGTCCTGGAGATTCGTTGTTGGGTCTCGACTTTTTCGGCAGCACACAGCCTGCGCCAACCAGCCGTCCGGCCAGCACTGCATCCACCCCTACTGGTTCAACCGGAATGTCTCGCCCGGACCTGAAGCAATCTATCCTGTCTCTTTATTCGAAGCCAACGCCTGCTCCGATGCAGCATGAACGCACGTCCTCCTTTGGAGATCTGACTTCCCCGCCGCCCCAGTCGGCGTCATCATCCAACTTCGGTGGCTTGACCGATGCTTTCAGCGGGCTGAGCATCCCCTCCACCACTTCTCCCCCGCCTGCCAAACCGGCTGAGAAGCCTTCGCCATTCGCCAATCTTGCAAACTTCGCCAGCATGAAGTCTACCCCAGCGGCTCCAAAGGTCTCGTCACCTACTCTCTCCGTCGGTACTGGGGGAGGCGGCAGTTTGTTCGACAGCCTTACTTCTCCTACTCTGCCACCAGCGAAGCCCCAGTCCCGGAATGCGTCCTTCTCTTCGAATGGCTTTGATTCGGGATTTACTAGCTTCGCTTCCGCGGCTCCGTCTAAGCCCAACCCACCGTCTTCCTCATTCTCAAATGATTTGCTCGGCTTCTCTTCCCCTCCAGCAAAGGCTGCTGCACCCCCGCCTCCAGTGTCTGCTCCCAATTCACAGAACGAATTAAAATCTGCGTTCAATCTTACTCCCGCCCCTGCGCCTGCCCCAGCGCCGAAACCGGCCTTCTCGCCCCCAACGGCCTCCGTTGCTAGTGCGCTTCCGCCGTCCAGCATTGACCCGTGGGGAGGCAATGCCTGGAGTACGCCTGCTCCTGCTCCGGCACAATCTGCTGCATCTTCAATGATGAAGATCCCGGACACCCTAACCGCCAATGATTTTGGTGGTGGCTGGGGAGCGCCGACGTCGCCGGCTGCGGTTTCTAAGCCAACCCCAACAGTCGCCGCTGACGAGGACTTCGGTGGTTGGACCAGTGCGGCACCAATTTCTTCGACTACCGTTACCTCTAATAACACATCTAATGCGTCCAACTCCTCCAAACCGGCTGGCGGGTTTGGCGGGGCTGATGATCTGTTCTCCAACGTTTGGGAGTAGGCTTCTTCCTTCGACTTTGCCTTCGTCAACTTTGCACATACCTAGTTTCAACAAATCCAGATTAGACATGAACATCAACTCCAGATGTTATCCCACATTTATCCGAACTTCACTTCTCTTAAGATCTGCTTGCTTGCTTCCGCGCCCTTCTCTTTTGGGACCTTAATTAGTCATGATTCAGTATGAATGACCCTCTAAGAAAAGAGTGTTGGGTGGTCTTAGGAATTCGCGCTTGGCGTCATGGCATGTATTGTACAAACAAAAGAACTAGTGCTTCAACGATTTCAGCAATGATTTTCTTGCATGTCATCTAGATTTGAGCGTATCTGTTTTGGACCATTTGCGAATAAGCCTTCCTCCAAGGAGATTCGACGAACCCGCAGTGAGGGCTGACGGTCTCGAGACAGTTCACTCAGGCGTGCCATTATGGAGCCTGGTGTAGTTCTGTGCGAATCCGTGGCTTATCTAAAAGCAGTCTAACCATAAGAACGCTAGTCGGCTGAGGTTTTGAAGTATATAAGCCATATTCCTATGCTTCCACAAGACGTGCTCTTAGCCCACATCTTCTCTTCTACTGATCCTACATAAAGAGATCCAAGTCGCGCAAGAAACATATCTTCAAGTCCCCATTATCGCCATGACATCAACCGTTTATCTGATTACAGGAGCAAGTCGAGGTATGTTTACAAGCAAGAGCCACGACTCCCCTTGCCCCCGCTTAGAGCTGGGGTTGGGGTACTGTACCTCGACGCACACACTCCTCTGTATGTATACTGACCATGGTGCAACCGGAAATACCACAGGAATCGGCTACGGCCTTGCCAGGATCCTCGTCTCGCGCCCCAATTGCACCGTTATCGCCGCCGTGCGCGATCCCTCCGCCGCTGCAGCGCACACTCTCCTCGCCCTCCCCGCCGGCGAAGGATCCCGTCTCATCCTAGTCAAGATCGACGCTCAATCGGACACGGACGCCCACGAAGCCGTCCGATACCTCCAGGAGGCGGAGAACATCCACCGCCTCGACGTTGTGGTTGCCAATGCGGGCTACTACGATGATGATTACCGGCTGGAAGACGCCCCGCTGTCCAAAGTCCAGCGCCACCTGGACGTCAACACCGTCGGCATACTTCGTCTCTTTCAGGCGGTTTTCAAGCTCCTGGGCAAGAGCTCCCAGCAGCAGCCGAAGTTCGTGACTATTAGCAGTTTCATGGGCAGCATTGCCGGACTGGATGAGGAGTACTTCCCCGGTGGGGGGTACGGCGCCAGCAAGGCGGCGGCGAATTGGATCACGAGGAAGATTCATGTGGAGAATCCGGGCTTCGTGAGCTTTATGATTCATCCAGGGTGAGTTGGGGATACTATGTTTTGATACGAGGGGGTGGTGTTGGTGATGGTAATGATGTATTGTGTTGCTTTATTGACTTGGTTGTGTGCAGATTCGTCAAGACTGCTATGGGCAATGCCGCTGCCAGGAGTATTGGACTGGACTCTGCCTTTAGTGAGGTCGATGAATGTGCGGACGGAATAGTCAAGCTGGTTTGTGGTCAATCGCTTCTTATCTGCCATGGCGAGGCTAACATGCTATCTACTTAGATCGATGGCGCAACAAGAGAGTCTGTTGGTGGTCGTTTTGTTACTGTCAAGGGCCAGGAGATGGCTTTCTAATAGCCATTAGTGAGATATGGAGGGTGATTTCTCTGAGCTGGCTGTCGGATTGTGGATTGTGGATTGTGTTTAATCTATATCGGATCAGAAATAGACAAATTCAGATCAGGACCATGTACGGAGTAGAAGAGGGACTACGGTATAGTTACAGTGTCTAAGACTTTGTGCCTGAGGCCAGAAGGCTTGCACTGGATAAGTAACCTTTTTTACAGAACTTTACTACAATCAATTTACCTCTGAGATTTCGATATTTGAACACTGGCCACTTAAGAAGCAGCAATAACAAAAACTTCAAATGAACGAGAATTGCTCATTCAAATACCCAGTAACTGTCAACAAGTAGCGAACTATGGGCTGATTGACTCGCGACAAATCCTTCGTATCTGATTGGACGGTGCCTCTCGGCCGCTCCGCCTCCGCCTTCCGAAGATCTTTTGATCGGCCGCCAACTTTCATCAACACCGCGACTCAATCCATATCAGGTCCCAATTGTTCCTGGCACCCCGTCACCATGGCGTTCCTGGGGCCTTCCGCACCTTTGCTGCGGAGTCTTGCCCCCCGATTGTCAAAGGAATTCTTCACCTGCCGCCCATGCCTCATTAGGACTCAGAGTTATGCATCCACCTCCGCTTTGCGCAAGCAGTTCTTTGCGCCGGACAATGCTCGCACTGCACTCAATACCATCTCTCTACGCGCCAGAGCCAAGGGTGCTTTCGCCTCTAGTCTGAGAAACTATGCCTCCAAGTCCTCCAAGTCTTCCAAGTCTGCCAAATCTCCCAAGCCTGCCAGTTCCTCGAAGCCCGCCCAGCCCGCCCAGCCCGCCCAGGCTCAGTCTGCTGCCTCTGCCGCCGCACCCGAGCAAGCACCGAAACGGTTCTTTCCTATCCTCACTCACAAGGTGGTAGCCTACTGGCTGTTGGCTAGTGCTGCCAGCGTCTTTGGTATCGTTGTATTCGGAGGCCTTACTAGATTAACAGAATCAGGGTATGTGTCTTCTCAATGATTGATCGCGAAGGCTTATACTGACTTGGTGTATAGTTTGAGTATCACAGAATGGCGCCCCGTCACCGGATCCATCCCTCCCATGAACGACGAAGATTGGGAATCCGAATTCGCCAAGTACCGTGCCTCCCCCGAATTTCAGCTTCTGAACCCGAACATGACGCTCTCCGAATTCAAGTCAATCTACTACATGGAATGGATTCACCGTCTCTGGGGCCGCTTTGTTGGTCTCTCGTTCGTGCTCCCGGCTATCTACTTCGTCGCTAGAAGGAAGGTCAGCAAGCCCATGGCTCTGCGCCTTGCTGGTATTGCAGGCTTGATCGGTTTCCAAGGATTTCTGGGTTGGTGGATGGTTGCGTCTGGACTCAAGGAAGACCTCTTCGCCCCCGGCAGCCACCCTCGCGTCAGCCAGTACCGTCTCACTGCGCATCTTGGCGCCGCCTTCGTCTGCTACACTGCTATGCTCTGGAATGGTCTTGCTATCCTGCGCTCTCAACGCCTCGCCTCCGATGTGAACAAGGGCCTGAAGCAACTCAAGAAACTCCATTCCAAGCACCTGACGGTTTTCCGTCGCTCTGTGGCCGGTGTGGCTCTCCTGGTCTTCGTTACCGCCATGTCTGGTGCCCTTGTCGCCGGTCTCGACGCCGGTCTCATTTACAATGAGTTCCCCTACATGGGCAATGGACTTACCCCTCCCAAGGAGGAACTCTTGGACGCCCGTTATTCCCAGCGTGAGGATCGCTCGGATCTCTGGTGGCGCAACATGCTGGAGAACCCCTCCTTGGTCCAGCTCGACCACCGCATCCTGGCAATGACTACCTTCACCAGCATTATGGCCCTGTGGGCTTACAGCAAGGTCCCTAGGGTGAACCGCGTGATGGGCCGCTCGGCCCGCAGAGGCGTTCACGGCGTGGTCGCTTTCGCCTTCTGCCAGGTCGGTCTGGGTATCTCGACCCTGCTTTATCTGGTTCCCACACCCTTGGCCTCCGCTCACCAGGCGGGAAGTCTTCTCTTGCTCACTTGGGTATTGGTCCTGGGCAGCCGTGTTTGGCGCCCAACCCGGACATTTAAGCTACTCCAGCTGAGACAGCAGTATGCGGCTGCCAAGAAGGCTGCCAAGAAGGCCTAAATCTTGTCTCTGTCAAATCCCTGAGAATAGGGATTGCGGGCATCGTTGACGAAAGAAATGCATGTGTATGGCCCCGCCACAGTACCGCCTGAAGTGGCTCCTCGATTTCTCTTGTGTTGTACTTATAACCCATCGTCCTCTCTACTTTTCGGAGCTTGTTGTTTTCCTTTTTGTACAATAACATTGCATTTTCAGTGCTATCTTGCGCATTGTTACTAGATCCTGTAGCGATAAGAAGCTTTGCAGGATGAACCTGAGAACCTAACGTACGCAGCTAAAAACCCCATAATATCTCGTCCCACCTCAACCGCTTTATCATTCCCGAGCCGTTCCACCGATCAAAAGCAACACCCTTGCCAACAAGAAACTTATTAAGATTCAGCTCTAGTATCGAAAAATTAGATCTAGCATGCTCGGCCACGGCTGCTTCTCCAATCTATAGGTGACGTTGAGGGGAAAGACGTGTGTCTGCTTGAGAACCATAAGCAAGCATCCGTGCCGGAGAATCCCGACGAGGGGATGGGATCACTTACGCTTAGCGACTGGAACCAGGAAAGTGGCTGAGACGCGCAGCAGTGCGGGTTGCCACAGTACCTTCCGCTCTGCAGAGCATCGTGCTTCGCGAGTTCCTGATGCTGGTTCGGATTCATACTCCTGCCAACGCACGGCCCTGCTTGTACTCCTCAACTTCCTGCTCGGCCAATGCGCTCGCGTCTTCGATAATGCGAGCTTTATCTGGAATACCTCCGGCTGCGAGATGTATACCTTGTTAGATATCGAGTACCGGATCGTGGGTATTATAAATGTTCGGGGGACATACCTCGCTCTACTGCTTCTATCGCTGTCGCCGCGGTTGAGAAGGTAAGAAGCTCCCCAGCATCCTTCAACTCCTGATCGATGTAATCTGGTCTACCAGGTGGAGTGGCTGGGGGGTGAACACGATCTGCGTTGTGGGTGAAGGCGTCATCGATGCCAGCCGGTGGACCCCAAATGAGCTCGTGGCTGTAGCGAGGAGGCGCTGCACTGACAACTTGCTGGCCCTTCTTGGGTTTGGGAAATGTGCGAATGGGCTGCAGTTCGCCCTGAGCGATGGGCTCGCGGTGGTTGCAGTTCCTGCCAGCGGGGATGTTCGCCGTACCTTCTGCTTCCGGCAATGCCCCGAAGTCTCGCACTATCACCTCCCCATCGACGAACGACTTATAGCTACCAGCGCTTGCCTCCACGTTGTACCTTGCTTCGGTGGCTGTTCCCACGGAATCCAACCCGCGATTGTTCCTCGCATTCGCACTCGCCCTTGCACCACCACCCACCTTTTTCGTTTTGTTCTTCCTCTTTGTCTTGCCTGTCGACCTACTGGCTTCCGTGCTGCTCTGTAATAGTTCCTCCCGCGTGATCGGCGCAACATGCACTACGTTCCCGGCAATGTGAGATCGGCGAAGTCCTTTGCGGATGGTACAATTGTGACAGCACTGCCACTTGCACACCGTACATCTGCTCATGCCAGATGTGTTGCGGCCATCACACACATCGCACTTTGCCGTCCGAGCAGGTTGATCATCGAACACGGTCACGACCTCACTGCCGGGAGGGGACGGGGACGGGGACAGACCCCGGTGGCCCATCCCGTTGTCTTGCGGGTACCCTCCGGCAAACGACGAGTAGTTGCGGACGAGCCGAGGCTGCCAATGTGGGGAGAGGTGGGAGGATTGTACTGTGGATCTGCGGGGTTGCCTCTCCCGGAACTCTAATATGGCATAAGCTTGTCCGCGGGGTTCTTCGGCTACATGGGGAAGAGGAATACCTAGTTGGGGCGGTGAGTACACCGGAGGAGGCACTGGAAAGAGAAAATCGTCTTCCGTGCTTAGGGCTCGCTGATCACCATCGGGATCGGTCACCACGATGACAGGAGCAGCCGGTGCGGCCGTCAGCCTCGACCCTTCCGCGGTGGAAGCCGGAGGCTGCTGAAGGAGAGGATGGGCGGAATGTGCAGCCACCGGAGCAGCTCTGGGTGGATGATATGAGCCGTAAGGAGGTGGAAGAAGTCGCGTGGTTCTAGCGGGCTGTCCATGTGGAGAACGGTTGATTGCAAATGCTTCCACACTGGCTTCATCCAACGTCTGATATGAGAGAACCGTAAGTCATTTATCTTCTCATAAAGAATGGTACTGAGCAAAAGGAAATGAAGGGATGCACTGACCAATGGCCTTGGTCTGTTGGAAGATCTTTGGACAACGTCTGGACCTGAATCGGCTCCCTCACGATTGCTGAGGACTTGGTGAACTGATGGCAGACAATCGACCACTTCCTCCAGCTCAATGCCTTCGAGAATCTGCGGGACAGTGGGCAGTGGCCGTCCCGATGGTCTGCGTCTGGCTCTGTTCTCTGATTCGAGCATTGTCAGCATAATTCGTCTCCGAAACTCAGTTTGGCTTCCTCCCGGCTCAGGATATCAAGCTGCAATATCAGATTCCTCCTCGCTCAACCTGTTCGACTAAGAACCATTCTTTATCATACAGATATCTCTTGTTGTTGCCTCAGTTTCAGAAGAAAAGAGCACCCAACGGTCCCAAGAACATAATCACACGCATATAAAGCCAGCTTCAAAGCTGAGAGAACATAAAGATCTCCAAAGAAGATTGGCTTATGCATAAAGCCCCTATAAGACAACTCCCTTGGTTATGCAAGATATACTTACCGCGGTTAAACATGATGAACAACTTCACCCTGTGTGACCGCTCACACTGCTCATCACCCGGTCTCTATCTGAGAGTCTTGATTTCAGGACGTGAGCCCGAATGAACTTTACTGATGGCAATTTTCGTGAGCACAGCTTCCTTGTTCCGTAAACGAGGAAGGCGTGCCAACTGTTACAGCCGTGTGAAGTCTGGGGTCAAGCTCAAAGAATTGGAAGGAGAAAATTTGCAGCCAGGGAGAAAGATGAAGAACAACAGGAAGAGGGGAGAAGAAAGAAAAAGGGAGAAACAAACACGTTCACCAGACACCAGGCCTGCGACGGTCACGACGCAAGATACGGACGATCTGCAGGGCACCGCTGCATTCTATACGCAGGCACGACAATACGCACTAGTGCGATGATACGATCTGCCTTGCCACTAGGGCGATGGTGAATGTTATGGCCATTATAACACGGCCATGGCTCGTCCTACTCTACTTTCTGTGTATGCAGCCTTGTGCGCTTCTGGGTTGGGTGTATGCTTCCCTGGGTGACTTTGTCAGCTCTACGGGTATGGGAGGGTTAGTGAGGGTGAGTGGGGGTATAGCAAGCTTTGTCGTTGCCTAGGACTTTATACTGGAAGCACTCTGGGGTAAACAAAGAGGATTGCTTTTGGGTACTTGAACGGAGAATGTTGGTCGGGTTGTTCTGCTAGTTGGAATGAAGCTTTGGCTGATATTTTAGCTCTTACAGAAGTATCGATGAAGAGTAGAGGAGCTGGCTATAGGATGCATGGCAAAAGCTATCTGCGCGTCTGGTAAACCTATCTTTGACCAAGGTCTCGGACTATTTCATTACGGGCGCGCTGTATCGAACTCGAGGCTTCAGCAACGTTAGAAAGATAAAAGTTATCAAGGGCGATGCTGCTCACAGCAGGAATCAGTATTTCTTTAGTCCAGAGTATGTATCATTTTGTCAAGTTGGAAATATGTAGTCTATAGTATCCACGCTAGACGCGACCGATCATTCGTAATGACCACCTCCATCGACATCTCGACTCCATATTTACAGGTTCCCCCGGGGAACTACGACCTAAAATCTCGTCAACCATGACCTGTGTGCAGTTTGCTATCCAGACGGCAATGATGTCCTTAAGCCAACCCACGAGACTCTTCACGTCAGCCCGTTCTGCCTGCCAGCCTGCAGCTCGCCAGTCCGGCATAATTGATCACGAAAACTGAAGCAGTAGTCATCCGTCACATTGCCGTAACCCTCCATCTTTCTCCTCCCGAGCGGAGAAGGGACGAGAAGGACAAATGCTTCCAGCCCACGGACAAGCCAGCAGCTCGGGACGAAGACGGGGGGTGGAGGCGAGCAAGCGCCCAGAACAAAGAAGTGTGTCTCATTGCAGGGCCTCCTTTACTTCTCTATCTCACCCGCTCTTAGCAGAATGAGCCTCAGGCCCGAACAACCTAAGTCTTCTTGGACGAACCGCCAGGCGTCGTGCCACCACGACGCTTATACTTGCGTGGATCTGCGTTTCGCACAGCGTTAGCGGAGAATCTCACAAGAGGGGCATATCAAATCCGAAAATTTAAGATTCGAAAGAGGAGAACGCGCAACCTACCTTTCCTACTCATCAGGGTCTTATTCCGAGTGCCTTTCCCGCCTTCCCAGAAGCCACTTCCGGCTTTACCGATCAGGACGGCGCGGCAGATCCCACAGTTCTCGGGGCGGTAGATTTGTTCGCGGGAACAGAAGCCACTATATTATATGACAGATTAGTTTCGAGGTTTTTATCGTGCGGACACCCTGAGTCGGTGGTTGCTTACCAGATCATGCGGTTTGCATGTTCATTGGGGTGGTCAGTGGCCGCATCGTGGCATCTGTGGAGTCGATTAGTATGTTTATGGGATGGCGGGGTGGGTGTCATACTTGTCGCACGGAAAGACCTTGGCGCAGCAGCTGAATCTGTAGGCGGAGGATGTTAGCATGGGTATACTATTTCGTTTCTTGGGTGGGCTCTAGGCGACGGCGTACCTGAACCAGCGATAGCTTTTCCCGTAATGCGAGCACCGGCCGCGACGGGGCAGTTCTTGGCCGGCGACGATGCCGAGGACCTCCTTGGGCTGATAGCATATCAGTATGCGCTTGATTGCGAGTAGATCTGGATTGTGAATCATACCTTCTTTCGGGGAGGGGGACGATCACGAGAAGAGACTGTATTGAACGTGTGAGGGGTTGATCCTAAATGCGAGACTCGGAATACTTACATGCTGCAGACCCGACTTTGAGGAACTTCACCTCCGGGACCTTGAGAACTGGTGCAGATAAGTATAATGAATTATCAATGGCCTTGGCAAGAATAGACGTACCCATTTTGCGATGGCACTGGCGGCAGTTAGCCATTGCGCTTTCGCCACGAACCGCCACAATTCCAGGGCTCGGAAACGGCGTCGAGCATTCCGCGCACGTGGGTATAAAGCTACTGCAGCGGTTGTTAATGCATATTCTACTATGACAGAGGCCATGACAAAGGGAGCACTCCGTTCAAAACAGAGTATCTGCTTACCTGGGGAGAAGATCGACTACAGTGCATCCATCCAAGTCCAGATAGCCGGCTCGAGTCGCGGTGGGATGCATCAATTGACGACGGAATCCTACAGATCAAAATGAGAATGCTTGGAGCTAAGGCGTTGAGTACTGGGCGGATCGCCTTACCCATGCTCATCGTGTTCGCACACTTCTTGCATGTCTCCACTTTGAGAGACAGCTCGTCATTTTTGTCTTTGATCTGAGGAATATTTCTCACATCCATCGTCTCCTTGCATCGATCGCATTTGATTGAGATATAAAGACCGACGAGCTCCAGAAGCTCAATCCCGTAGAGTTCCAGGAATGGGAAGGAGAGAGCAACGCCGCGTTCAACATTGGTAGGCTCGGGAAGATCGGGAACAGGAGCGCCTCCATCTTCGTCGTCTTCCGTGGGTTCCTCGTCAGACTCGGTGAAATCCGTCTCCTCAGAAGCACTACTGTCACCACCCACGTTCCATTCCGGAGGTCGGGGCACAACATGGACATGGGGTTTGTCCGTCGCCACGGATTCTGGAACCGGCGGACCTGTTGCAGCTGCCTCTAATGGCTTAGAATCTGGAATCTCGGATATTGCAACTGGAGCGGGAGCGCTTTCCACTGGCGTCTTGGAGAGATTAAGCATATTGCTGGTGAGGTAATTGACCTGCGACATCAGATTTAGGTTTAGGTTGTTTTGAACCCACTCGCTGAAGCCTGCTTCGACAGCTCGAGCCTCTGGGCCTTCCATACTGTTCAGTTCAATCGCGCTGGGCTCAAGCGGGTACAGTAGAGGCACCTGCAATTTGACAGCCTTCACAGACCGGAGGGGCACAGGTAGCCGATCGATTTTGGCCGGCTGAATAGGGATGAGAAAAGAGAGACCGTCACTGAGCTTCTGGAAAGAGGACAATCTACCCAGTCGAGCCTCTAATTGTTTCGTCTCCGCTGCTCGTCGCTTTTCCGCCTGGGCCTTCTCAGCCGCGGTGTATGTCGGAAGCGGGGCAGGTTTGGGGGTCGACAGCACTTGGGTCCGAGGCTGAGAGGTTGACGAAGACACAGCGAGCGACTCCATATCTCGTGACAGCTTCTGGACCACCGCTGACTGTGGCTTGCTTGCTGTTGTGTTGAGCACAAACTTGAGCGTAGGTCCCCGTTCCAAAGTCGTCAGCAAGCGCTCCAGATGTCGATCCAGAGTGTTCATGTAGCTGAGCAGCGTCCCACGGCTGCCGCTTCTGATGGTGCTGTCGACAATGTCATCAAAGCCTCTAGCAACATTCTCTTGGAATGCGCTTCCCATTTCGGGATTGGTGACTCTGATCGTGGGACGTCCTTGAGTCGGGTAAGTTCGAGGGACGTGTAGAATGCACTGTAGCTTGTCCATTTCGAAGGGGAAGTCGGGATCAGAGGGGGTAAGCCCGAAAGTCGCCGTGGTTCCGGTGTCATCACTGCTTTCCTGTGGGCGAAAGCGACGCCGTAACTGATTGAGCTGAAATTCTCTGGGATTCGATGCTTCTGCTTTTGAGATGGGTCGGTGGGGTGAGCCAGAGGTGGCAGTGCCAGAGCTCCCGGACTGCATGGTGCTCATGGTTGCTCTTCGATATAGACAGATCTTGATCAATGCCCGGGACAATCTGAGTCTTGGATGGCAAAAAGATGTGCTAGAAGTATGTACAATGACCAACTGTATACAGAATTGTCGATGTAGATATAAGTAATGGCCAGGGCGGCGATCAAGCTCCGCAGAAGCTAGTCTCGAATGGGACGGGCACAGCGTCATCATCGGCATGATTACTGATTACTCATTCTGATCACTTCCATGACTCACCTGCTTGCCACAGTGTGAGTGCAGTGAATTTCGAGCAGGTGTCTTGAGTGTCTGTCTCACTCCACAGACTAGTCTTGCAGTACCCAGCCCTTTCTTTGGCATAAGTTTTGTGTACTCAATACTAAGGTAGTTAATTAGTGTGGTGGGTTTATGCTGGTTGCTGCCTCAGGCATTAATTATGGCCAGAACCCCTCTCTGGTGGGTCGACCAATGGCAGGGAGGCGTATTCAATACGATTGACTTGCTTCGGGAATGGCCCAAACGGGCAAGTGTGGAGATTTTCAGTTCCCCTCGAAGCACTCTTTTTGCTCCTTGCCTGCAG